GTTGAAGTTACAGTTCTGAACTGGAAGTTATTAACAATGGAAAACATTTGCAAATGATGCTGAAGGTCCATCTTTGACTTGTATATGCAATCCATGCGAATAGTTGTTGGATGGTAATGAGAAATAACAACAGTAGGTGTGGATTCCACTGACACAGAATCTGTGCTTTCAGCAATACAGACATCTTCACTTGATAAGGACAGAGGCTGTGTGAATTGGGTAAGAAGAAGACTCTGGGAAGTACCAACAGAAGGAACAAGAAAAGTGGAAGAAGATGCATCAATAATAGTGCCAAACTCATTAAACTGTGACATTATGACACCCTGTGAACTTGTATTGTTTGTGTCAAATTCGATGCACAATGAAAGCTTCGTAAAATCACACTCAATACACTTCAATTGCATATAAAATTGGAAGCTACTCTCATCATCTATATTCACAGGAGGAAGAATGGACCCAACAACGTATGAAACACGAAAATGTTCCTTGCAAATTACACGTTTCAGATGCAACATTAAATCTTGGAATGAGCTGTTATTTGGAATTGGGACTCCAATTGTGTACTTAGAAATAAAAATATTATTAGGAGACCAGTTTCCATCAACATGAACCATGATCCACATCTGGTCTGCCATCAAAGTAAAGGATACAACTGCAGATGAATAAAAAACATAAGAAAATCTCAGTATATGTTTGGTAGTGAAGACTCCAAATACACTCAATTAACAAAACAGCAGAACACATTCAAAGATGTATGAGAATTATGATTGTAAAATATAAAATGTAATGCAGAAACTAGAATCATAAATCGTAGAGAGTTATGAGAAGAAACTGACCTACTGCAATGGCTGTGGCGAATGAGAACTCCAAATTACGAACAGTAAAATCGAAGATGATGGGAGATTGAAAAGCGAATTGAAATTGACACAATAAAGTCGTAGATGATGGGGAATTGAAAAGCGAAATAGAAGAATCAAGATTGTGTCGCAAGCAACGAAGCAGGGAAGAAGAGTTGTGGCTGGGAAGAAGACGAAGGAAAAAGGCAGAGAGGAAGGAAAAGAGGAAACGGAGGATTTCAAACTACCGTTTAAGAGGACGGTAATTACTCCTATTTTGAGTATATAATCAATGGACTCTTACATTAGGGTTAAGCTTAATGTTTTACTCCTAGTTAGGGGGTTTTCTTCAAACACATTTGAGATGGATAACCCTAATTTGACTGATTTTTAAAAAATAAGAAAAGGAACCAAATCGTACGAGAGAGGCGACCACACCAATTCCTCTCTTCCACCATCTCCCTTCAATTCCTAATCACACCAATAAAATAAACCCTAAACCAGGAAATTCACACCAAATTGAAAAAGAAATCCGATTTTTACTTAAACGGGTGGGGCAAAATATCCGATTCTTCCTCCTACTTTGGCCATATCCGATTCTTCTGTTCTTCCTGGTTCGTCGGCGTTTTTGCAGACCTTGCAGTCGCAGCTTCGCAGGTCCAAGTCCTCAGATATGTCTTCGAACTCCGGCTTGTGCCCTACTGGTGTTTATGTTTTTTTTTTTTTGCGTCAGTGGCTACTGCCCACTGGCCAGTGAGGTTTCAAAGCCGTGTTTTCCAAATTTCAATTTTTTTGTTTGGTAATAAAATCTTGAGGTTAATTCTATTTTGTTTGACACTTTGATCTGATCCGTGCCCACACCCATGTTGATTTATGCATTTGATTTTCTGGAGATTCATGGAAGTTGAATTCAATTAAACTCCCCATCCAGAGAATTTATTCTGCAAATTGATTTTTTTTGTTGTTGCATGATTGGTTTTTATTCGTCGTTCATCAAACAAAAATGTGCAGGAATTAGGTTTTGGGCATAGAGTTTCTAGTGGTGTGCGAATGACTATGAGGAATCTAACCCTAAAAATAACTTGTAGACTACAAGAATATTTACCTTTAAACATCAGTAATGTATCTATGGGTGTTGTTTGGGATATCTAATTATGTACCCTTGATATCTTTTGACAGAGTACGAAGGGGATGGAGAGGATGGCTTCATCGGATATAATGTGTGTTAGTTTTCTGGCTCTTCTTGAAAAATTCAACCTTTTCCCCAGTAACTACATCTTCATTAAAAAAAATACTCCGTATTGTTTATATCAATGCCCTTATTTTTCAATTCTATTCGACTGGATGCAACTTATTTTTTTACTACGTTTTTGGTCCAATTTTTTGTCGTTCATCACTTGCTATAACTACGAGCTAGTTCTCTTCAACTTATTCTTATTACTTATCACATCAGACGAGATTGGAATCACATCAGACCATATCACATCAAAACAACTTTATCCTTAACTAGAATCAGATCAGCCCAAATTAGATGAGACGAGACCTTAATAAGTTCATATCGGACGAAGAGACCATGCCCTGCATTTTATAAGGGTTTCAAACTCTATGCATCCCAAATGTAAATTAAGAAATATCTATGCAATTATATACCGTATATTTTTAATTTCGAATTGACTAAATTGCTCCTAAGCAATGTGTTTTGATGACTTGTTCTAAATTCCTTTTTTTTGCTAAAATTTATATACAATTATATATACAATAAACACACTTGTTCTCTTGATGTTGCAGTACTTTGCCCCTTTTCTCTAAAATAAGGTTTCGACTTCTAAGCTTTGTTTTATCTCTTTATTTAAACAGGGATCGGGATGAATGTGCAAATGATGTTAGAGCAACTAAGAATGACGATGTAGGTTAGCATTTATCATCTTTTTTTTGGCTGACATTATTAATGCTTTTTTGGACCCTTTGCATTAAAGTTTACAACTTTCATTAATGCTGAAATATAAAATTAATATTTTTTTAAAACTAATCTGGGGAGCACCGACTCTTCTAAAGATGTGACACGCGTGTGAGGATGTTTTTTAATTCAAATTTTATCCAGCTTGTTTAAAACAAGTTTAGGCCCTGAACTCATACCTCAAAGTTTTACTTTTTTAAATGGGACTCGAGCGCGTGTATATGAGGAGTAGAAGGGTGTCTTCACCCTTCCCTTTATGTACTCAGTTATTTTACCATATCATTCATTTTTATTATTTGATTGTTCTACCTTGTTCTTTTCTTTTTTTAACCGACGGTTTTCCTAAAACAGCCGCGCTACCTTTATAGGTAGAGGTAATGCTTGTGTACACCTACCCTCCTCAGACTCACTTTGTGGGACCTTACTAGGTTGTAGTTGTTGCGATACTGGTGAATTTCATTTCTTCCAACATCCAAATAGATTGAGGGCATAAACATAGATAGTGTGACTGTCCTAAACTTAATCTTGTGTAATAAGCAGCCGCATGTGCACTAAATTCAATTTCCACTCTTGAAGCACTAAACTTTTCCATATGAAATATTAAATGAATAGTTCTTCCTTGACACGACATAGAGAGTCATTGTTTGTGTCAACCTTAGTGTTGTTGGTGGTGTCACTCTAGCATAACTCATACAAATACTACTCTATCTATCCCTTATTTCCATTTTGGATGTCTATAATTAATCTTCTCATTAAGAATTGTTTGGTTTACATCAAATTTCTCTTTTCTGCACAAATTTCAGCCACACAATATCGCTTCTTAAATTCTATGCGAAAAACAAACGGGAAGATTAAATAGGGGCAGAGGGAGTGGTTTATGGTCCTAGAAGTTAATGAATTTTTAATTAGGGGCAGTTTGTAAATCTTTTTGCTGATGATCCCAGATGAGAACGAGAATGAGCCGTGGTACGAAGACGATGGATCATCACCTGGCAATCCTTTTGGAGCAGCGGACAATCCATCGGACTTGGACAGGGAGTGGCAGAGGTTGCATGACCAATTCCATACGGTATCCTATCTACCTAACCTAGATACGTATATCCAAAAACGTATTTTGTATCCACAAGTTATAGCTTATGGAAGCCGCCTAAGTACTTGTTCGGTCTTGATTAAATTATTTTCAGATGGGATATCGTGATGGTCTTATAGCAGGAAAGGAATCTTCTGCTCAAAAAGGGTTTAATGCTGGTTTTGTAGAATCAGTATATGTTGGATACAACTGGGGTGTACTCAAAGGCGTAATCAGGTTAGTAGGAGAAATGGTTCAGTTTTTGCTTGTTGTGAATGGTAAAAGTGTATTTCTGGTAGCTCGAATTCCTATATTATACATCCACATATAAGGATATGCACACTTACCACTTTCACAATGCATATTTTGCACATTTATTTTTTTGCATATTTCATAGAACATAAACATTATGAAATTAATATACGCACATCCAATTATTTCACAATCCTCATTTCATTGCTAAAAGAGCTTTTCATTTTGTTGATAAATAACACTTCCAGTCCACATAAAAGATAAAAATAAAATCTTGAAAATAAAATTGCAAGAAAACAAGCATTTACTCGTGTTTTTTTAAATATACTCAGAGCATGCACATTATAGAATCAGTCATTCGTGCAGGGCTTTGGGTTGCCTTCCCTGTGAATTGCAAGAGAGGATGATAACAGAGGAAAGTAGAATGAAGTTCAACAAGCTTCAAGAATCTCTGCAGTCCGTTTCTACAGTGGATGATGCGTTGAGGATGTTTGGTGAATCGCTGTCAAACAGATCGTTACCCGAACCAACCGTTGAATCTTCGCAAGACCGAAGATCTAAAGATTGTTTCCAAAATTACCAATGTGAGTTCGAATCGCTTATGCGTGAATTGCCTGCTGTGATATTGCACTCAGATGCAAACTAGTATTACTTGTGTTGTGTTTTGCCCTATTTGTGAAATATTTCTGCTGCTTGTAAAGCAAGTGTTTACACTCACAAGAATAATGCCCACTTATCTATGATCCCTACATTGCCCATGAATTTTTGTACTCTTACTTTGCATATTTGACTTTTCTTGGTCAACCTTTATAAACTTTGACCTAATTTTACTATTGCCTCCGTCCCATTTTAAGTTGAGTGTTGTTATTTACAATATGTGACTGAAGTTTTTTTTTTCAAATGAACTTATATGCAAATCGGGGTTGAATTAAAAAAATGTATATATTTAAAAACTACATCAAAAGTTTTACTCCCTCCGTCCCATAATAAAGTTCCTATTTTGACCATAAATTGGTCAAACTGTTGCACACTTTGACCTTAAATTAAATATAATCTAAATAAAAAAAATGCTAAAAAAATTTGAGATATCTAAACTAGATCCTAAGATGAATCCAATTATATAAAATTTATTTCATAATTAAATATACATTTCTCATAATTTGTAGTCAAAGCGTGTAAATATTTGACTAAATACTATTCAAAATGGGAACTTTTTTGTGGGACGGAGGGAGTATAAAATAAGACATGGTATCACTATATTATTTTATCAAATGAGTAATGAAAATAATTAACATTTGACAATGTGAATAATAAACAGATAACTTAAATTAGGGGGTGTATTCAATTAGGATTATGAAAGATTTAGATAGATTGTTTAAAGTATATGGATTATGCAAAATCTATGGATTGTTTTAAATCTATGCAGAGTTTGATAGATTTTGATGTATTTTATTAGCAGAATTTTATAAGATTATGTTTGATTGTCTATAATCCATAGATTATTTATACATAAATATGAATTATTTTATAAATTTATCCATTGTTGTCCCAATCGTAGGCCAAAAGGCTTAATATTACAGCATTTTATTATGCCACAATTGCAGAATATATGGACTATATTTGTAGAACATTTACAGCTATGGGACTGAACATAACCCAAATCCCAGATTGAATTATTTTAAATAAATAAATAATTAAATAAATAATCACCCGGATTAGATGCTGGTCTCAATTCAAACTGAAAACCCTAGATTTTTTTCATTCTTTTAAGCCGCTTTTTCCAGCCAAAAGCTAGCAGACCCCAAACAAATAGAAACCAACCACTTATAAACATCTAATTAAACTACCCATAAGAAAAATAGTAGATCAGATAGATCTTGGAGTGGAATTTATGGGGTGAAGAAGAAGAAGAAGAGAAGAAGAAGAAGAACATTATCTTGAAGGCTTGTATCAGATGGAAAGGAGATCGAGAACTCTTGGTGAAGAATAGAAGAAGAAGATTTTAGAAGGAGATCGAGAATTGCGACCGGCTCTTGGACTCCTGCAAATACCTGCAATTTTGGTTGGATTTGAAAACAGATTTTTTATTTATACTTCAAACCAAAAATCCATTAGAATCCATTTTTTTTTTAACAATCTTTAAAAATCTATTAACTTTCCAATATCATTAGATTTAGAAAGATTTTTTAAAATCTCAATTGAGTACTTCCAGAATTTAATTGATTTTTAAAAATCCTAATTGAATACCCATTGACTTTAAAAATCCATAAAAATCTTATAGAGTCTGGATTGAATACACCCCCTTAAGACAGAGTGCCACACATGGAGTAAATTTACAAAATTACAGTCTAAGGGATGTATCGATGTAGATAGACTATGAAGAGTCAAATAATCAATCTAATTTATGATGGACGGAGTAATATTTTAGTGCTCCTCTCCTATGTTGTTTTTTGAACTTTTTATTTATTTGTATTATTATAAGAGTAAGACTAAAACCAGAATTATTTAGACCAAAAAGCAGATAATTTTTTAGTCTCATTTTTCCATTTTGTAGTATGGCTCAAAATGTTTGTTCCTCGTTAGACTTGGCTTCACCCATACTTCATTAATTCAATATCAATTATCAGTCTACTTTTTTCTTCATTTGTGAATTGCCTCCCCTCATGAAAGGATCTTATTCGAGCTAGAGAAAATATGAAAGTATTAGAAAAAGTTTTTTTTTAATGTATTTGAAAGAACACTTGCAATGCAAAAGGATTCATTGTGTTTCATAAAATTTACAAAGAACACTTGCCACCAATCTACGATCAAGAGGTATATCTAAGTTTGATTCCCAAGAACTTTTTTCACGGTGAGCATTGTGCAGATAGCAAAGGCAAGGAGTTCTTAGGGATATATTTAATTTTGATTCTTGACAGCAGCAATTGAAAGTAACTATGATAAGCATATGACATATACAAGTACGAGGTGCAGATTTCACTCTTTGTCATTGTGATCATAGACTAGTTTACCTTCTCTCAGTGATCGTATGAGCGGGATCTGAGGCGGCTCTCGGAGATGGGCTCATCTTTTTCTACAAAGAACACTTTTAGTAATGTACTCCATGTGTGTCTTGCGGTGAACTTTCTCGCGAATTTTCCATGGAATATATATTGGTCTCTTTTATTTTACAAGACTTAATATATACAACCATGTTATGTATTAAGATCTATAAAATGAATATTGACACGAGGGTTACAAAAAAAGTTGTCTAGTCGGAAATGAATTATTCACACTATTCACACAATTAAATTTTATTCACATTTTTTTGTTTATTTTTACTATTCATAATGAAAATTAGTCATGTCAGCTTTTTCTTTGTATTTGTTCAGTTTAATTTTTTGAGTCAAACTAAATAAACTTTGAACTTCCATTACTTTAAATTTGTATTGCATATTTTAGTACAATGAAATAAAATCCTAAATGTTTTCAATAAGATACGTCTAATAAAGCCATTTTTATACAAATATATTTTAGAATCTTTATTTTAAATTTTATAAATAAAATTAAAAATAAATTAAGTCAAAGTGATTTCATTATGCTCCACTTTCCACTTACTCCTTATAAAAAAGGGGGAGTAATTCCGGACTGTCTCCACAGTGTGGCCTGAGCTGCAATAGAACTGTGTCGAATCCCCGAACATGTCTGCCGGACTCAGTTATAATTCATCGCCGGCGATACTAGCTGCACCTACTCACCCTTCCGAAATTGTTAGTTCTTCTCATTTCATCCTCTGATTTAGGCGTTTTCCTTTGATTTTCCGTGCTTATTATTACTGACCGGAAAATTTACTCTCAGCCGAGTCCTCGCCGGAATTTGAAATCTAGGGTTTCCGCAAGAGCTAATGGGATTAAATCGTGTTTCGTCGACCCAATCCGGGAGAAACCGATCATCAAAGAAGCTCTTAAGGTAGTACGGATTACTATTCTCCTGCTCTGTTTCCCTCCGATTCGCTCGTCCTTTACTGCTCCTGTAGCTTAACACTATGTTTGGGAAAAGAAAAGAAAATTAGAAAGGAAAAATATACTAAGAGGAGAGAAAACCAAATTCCCTTCATTTTGGCTAGGAAATTGAGAGAAAATCATTTTCTTTTCTTTTCCATCCAAATGCCTTGAACCAAACATAATTTAAGTAATGGGCTTCTCGGATTCTAGATAATTATTAATCTTTAATTGTTGACTTGTTGTTGTTGTTATCAATGATGGCCAATTTGGCGTTGAATGAATGCCTAGGTGAAATCATGTCTCTTGATTAAGCAAAAGCTGTTGGGTTTGATTTGAATATTTTCTCTTGAAAAGAATCTTCATTTTCCTCAGTTAGCTTGGCCACACTTGATTCATATACTTCAGATGATGATTATTACCTCATATCATATAATCCGTATTCATTTTTCTAGCTTGATAATGATAAACATAGTATATTTTTTTTATTATAAATAAAATTAGATCTTCTTTCATATCTTCATATTGACATTAGTAATACCCTGGAGTATTATCCTAGCCAGTCCGAATCAGAAAAATTGACCCAATAAGATAGGAAAAGTGTGACAAAATATTTTTGAGTTAATATTTTTGCTTCATAATCATCATCACCTTAATCCATATTTGTGTTGGGCTTGGTGGGATGAGGTTTATAATGTCAATTACTCTGGTATTTGCTTAGAACTAGTCAGCATTATAAATTCATAGAAAAATAACATGTAATTGTGGCAAAGTTCATTTATTGAAGATTACACCTGCAAAATTTTAACTTTGTCTACTAGTTTAGGCACACGAATCCGCCGAAGGGTACAATAGGCAGTTCACTGTTTTGGGATGGTTTAGTTATTGGTTAAATGTCTCTGTAATCTTCAGTTATTGGTTAACTTAATCTAACTCTACTCGAAGGGGATCTTTTCTAATTAATCCATATTCAGAGTACAAAGACATCTTTTAGGATCTCGTCACAGTGAAATATGTGAGAGCCTGCTTGCTCCCAGTCACACAATAAGGATCAAGCAATTCAATAGTGCAATCTCCAAGGGAGTGAGTTATGTACTACTCAGTTTTCACAAATCGCAATCCTTCCTTACCCTTGGACTGATGAAAATACTATGGAATATTGGCCCATTCCAGATTTTGATTCTTGGCCTTGTGTTCATTACCAATAGAGCTAAAAAGTCATTATGGACAATTTATATGCTTTGGGTCTGAGTTGCACAGAGATGTGGGACAGGATCGAGAATGGGGAAAATAAACTTTTTCCAATTTTACAAAGAATTTGGGTGTCGTGACGTCCCCAAGAACCCAAATGGAGACGCTTTGGGGATGGGAAGCGGCACTTGTTTGAAGAAGCCATGCAACATAGCTTTAGGTTAATAATGGAGAAAATCAAAATGACACATTGAACTTCCGTTGTTTGACACACTTTGAAGTTCAGGATAGTAAATGCAACAAGGGCCTAAATGAAACAGTCTCTCTGTTTCGCAAGGGTAAGACTGCCCATATCTTGGCCCCTAGACCCCAACGAAGTTGGAATTATATTGGGGTTGGTTGCGGTTCGTGTGATGTTTCATTCTATGTTTCTAGCAATTCAAATATCCAAATTTCGGACATGGATAAGAGATGAAACTCATTGCTTGGTCATGTTACTCCCCACCCCCACCCTGCCTAGGGGTGTATTTTCCCACCGATCAAAGTTTGTGTGGTTCTGTGCTTTTGCAGGAGCCCGTGGCTTTCATGGGAGGGATGCTTGCTGGACTGTTAAGAATTGATCTAAATGAAGACCCTCTCAAGGAATGGGTCACTAGAACCGTGGAGGCTTCCGGAGTTACACCTGAAGAAATTCATGCAGCAGGTGAGAACCCACCTGAAGAAACCCCACAGCAGATAGAGATTGAATGACTTTATTGCAAGTTAACTTGCATTCATTAAGACTCATTTATTATTTTCACAAGAATTGTAAAAAGCGTATTGCTTAATGTGCAAGTTGGGTCTAGGTGATGACTACAATGCACTTTTTACCATTCGAGTGTATAATATATGAGGTTTAATGAATGCAATGTTGCATGTGTAAGATAAACAGAATGTTATTTAAACCTCATACAATGCTTTTTTAGCTAATAATTCGTGTAAAATATGATTCTACGGTGCCTGTTTAGTTGAGATTACAATGTCGGTGATGCCGATGGCTGCATTTCGTTTACATTTTTGCTCTATTTTCTTCAATTTTGTATGGTTTTGAAGGAAACAGATGAAATGGCCTCAACATGTATGGCCATTTTTTATTTTCCTCTTAAGTATAAATTAACGGATTTTATTAGCCAAAATCTGTATTAATTAACGGATGGAAGAAAAGGTAGAAAGAAACGGAGAAGGTATGAAGTTGTTCCCACACATTTTAGCAGTTCATGAATTGGGGAATGAAGAAACAAGAGATCTTGATTTTACACTGAAATTTATCAAAACTTTAAATACTTATCGAGATATTTCAAAATTTGATTTTATTGTATTAGTATGAAATACAAATTGGAAGTAATTGATAATTAAAGTTTGTTTTATTTGACTTGAAAAAGTTAGAACAAAGATATTGGGACGAATAACTTAACGTTTTTCCTTAAGTGAAAGTGTGAAGCATTAGAGCACTTACAATAGGAGGGGGGAAATGTGCTGCGCCGGGCTGGAGCGGAACGCCGAGCGGCGGCTTCCCATTGCACGCGTAGCTGTGCGATTCCAGCCGCGGCGCAGAGCCGAGCTCAATTTTCGATGGATATCTGCGACGGCCATTCACTGCAGCGGACGTCGTGCCGCAATCTGAATTTCATTTTTAAAAATTTTTCAACCCTATAAATTCAACACATCTTCCACTTCAATCCATTCACTCTCACTCTCTCAATTTACCTTTTTTTTAAATTTTACTTCATCTTTCTCAATCCACAAAAAAAACGACTCTTCCTCTAACGAATGATGATGTCTTGAATATGCTAATTGCGGCGTACCATGAATATTTGCCTTTCATCCAAGTGGAGATGCAAAATGAAGTTGCGGCGGCTGCTACTCCTCCCTTTCCAAGTAGCAGTTGTACATTTGACAAAATCATGAGCAGGTTGCTCATCGTTTGTTTGAAGATTATTTTCAGACGTTCCGTGTTTTTCTCATGACCAGTTTCGTTTGGATTTCAGAGGCACTCGCAGCTCGTGCTATCTATTTCCAACATCGACCGGACGGTGTTGAAAGGGAGGGCCTATCCACTCTACAAAAGTGCGCAATCGCGATTAGGCAGCGCGCGTATGGCACATGTGCTAATAGAGCACTTCTACATGGGAAACTCTACAAGCAGAGAATGCTTGCAGCATTTTTACCGAGGTGTCATTGAAGTTTTCAAGGACACGTATGTATGAAAATCGACTGTCCAAGACATTCAGATGTCAGTCAATATGCACGAGCAAGTGCACGTGTTTCTAGGGATAATTGGTAGCCTGTAGTGTATCCATTGAAAGAGGAAAGATTATCCTGTGGCGTGGAGGGGTGCACTCACAAGCAGTTACAAGGGCTCACACCCGATGATCGTGCTTGAGGTCGTTGCTGGCGATCGCATGTGAACTTGGCATGCCTACTTTGGAGTCACCATATCGAACAATGATCTGAATGTCTTGAAGGGGTCCCCTTTATTCAACGTGGTTTGCGCTTGATGTGCGCTAGTCGTGCAATTCACCGGCAATGATCGCCAGTATAATATGGGATATTATTTGGCAAATGGGATATATGGAAACCAAGCCCATCAAGACATTTTAAGTGACCTGGGCATGAGATATGTACAAAGTCCAAGTTAGGATCCGTACATTAAAAGAAAGATCCGAACCAGAGATAATGTAGTGAGCTGGTGATAGAATCTGTCCAACTAAAGAGGCAAGACAGGGGAAGAAGGAATATTGGGGGCCCAAGAAATGGGCTGGATCTCAGCCCATTAAGGTCGGGTCACCTAGAGGAAGAGACCCCTACAAATAAAATAGGGCACGCCGTCCTCAAGGAGGAACAGACAGTAATCTTTTCAATTGATATTAGGCATTTAAAATATAAAAAATTACGATTTATATTTTCATCGATATGTAAAATATGAGTATATAATTTTTTTCCTAATAGCTAATGCATGACCTTTTTCCGTACAAAGAGATATGAAAAAATTGTTTAATGAATAATTTTTATAAAATATTGTTTTATGAGAAAATTGTTTAATGAATAACTTAAGAAATATTTGCACTAAAAAACACTAAAACTTAAGTCATTTTTCTAAATAGCATTTAAATTGTTTTATTCCCAAATAGCACTTAATAATATCCATAATGTCCAGTGATGACGAATATTTACTTGAATAATGACTAATGCATAATGACTAAAAGTGCTACATTGGAAAGAAAAATACATGTGGTGCTATTTATGAAAAATCATTATGTTTTAATACTATTTAAGTAAATTCCTCATAATATAAATGGTTATAAAATATTTTAAAGAGTAAATTCCCAAAATAGTCCTTTGTAATAAGGTGTTTTCCCAAATTAGTCCTCAATAAGTTGTAATTACTTACGTGGTCCTCTATAATTGAAATTTATTCCCGAAATAGTCCTTTGTAATAAGGTATTTTCCCAAATCAGTCTTCAATAGATTTTAATTATCTACGTGGTCCTTTGTAATTGAGATTTATTCCCAAAATGATCTTTCATAAATAATATTACTCAAATGAAGATTAATTGAGGGTATTTTTTCTCTGCTAAATTTAGAATCAATTCTTAAAATAATCATTTATAATGAAGTGCTTTCCCAAAATGGTTTTTCTAATTAAAGATGTGTATTTGATTTAAAATATAAATGATTTTTTTAAGTTTTATAAATGTATTTGGTTTATCTCTATGTAATAAGGTGTTATCCCAAATCAGTCCTCAAATTAGGATTAATTGGGAGATATTTTGGTATTTTGATTATCCAAATTTAAAGTATATTCTCGAAACAATCATTTCTGTACAACTAAATGTAAAATTTAAAAAATACATTGAAAAACCATTTAATTAGAAAAACCATTTTGGGAAAGCACTTTATTATAAATGATTATTTTAAGAATTAATTCTAAATTTAGCGGATAAAAAATACCCTCAATTAATCTTCATTTGAGTAGTATTATTTATGAAGGATCATTTTGGGAATAAATCTCAATTACAAAGAACCACGTAGATAATTAAAACCTATTGAGTACTGATTTGGGAAAATACCTTATTACAAAGGACTATTTCAGGATTAAATTTCAATTATAGAGGACCACATAGGTAATTAAAACTTATTGAGAACTAATTTGGAAAAACTGTTTATTACAAAGGATTATTTTGGGAATTTACTCTATTTTAAATGTTAAGTGGTGCAGTGCAATAATCAAAATGTAGAGGACCAAAGCAAACATTTTATAAACCACAGGGGTGAAAGTGAACACGAGTAGTTGCATCTGAAGAAGGGGCGGGGGAGAGACAGAGACAGACAGAGCCAGAGAGAGAGAGAAGGCGAGATCGAGGGTTTCAAGAATCCATAGAATCCAAAAGCTTCAAGTACTATTGTCTCTGTTCTCTCCTTTCGCTTCAGGCCACTTCTTGTTCTGATCTACGCAAGAAGGGGAGAGATTCTTGCGATCAATCATTTCCTTCTGAAGGATTTGAAGGAAGAGAGTAGCGATTAGCTCTGGTAAAAATGGATTTGGACCAATGGATATCGAAGGTGAAGGAGGGCCAACACTTAGCCGAGGACGAGCTTCAACTTCTATGCGAATATGTATGTCCTCTCTGTCATTGAAACGATCGGTTAGGGTTTCTTTTCATTCAATTCATGTTCGCTGCGGGTATGAATCCCGGAATTTGAGTGGTGGTTTGAAGCAGCAGCTAACCCGTCTTGAAAAAATTAAATACTTTCCAGTTCGCTTTGATTTTTCTCTGTACTTTTCTGGGTACATTAGCACTGGGACATTTGACAACCGGAATAAATTTATTGAGGTTTATGGGTAAGACTAATTTCTGGTGTCAAAAGAATGTGTTGCAAGATAGAATATTATTGGGTTTGTTGTAGTGACAATTAGACATTATGGAATTAGTTTATAGGCTAGGGGAAAATGACACATTAACAGGCACCCTTGATTCTTGAACCTGATAATCATTTCAATCCATATTATTTAATTCGTGTAATGCTCTAGTACGAGCATCCAAAGTTTCTTTTGGTGTCTCTTTAAATATTTCTCAAATCTTAACACAAGCATCAAGATTTGTAAACTATATATATTTTCATGTTCCTTTTGGTTTCCCTTTCTATTGTGCACTTTACTAACACTTAAGGTCTTTTGGAAACAACCTCTATACAATTTGATTATAAAGTCTGCTTACACCCACCCATCCTCCCCAGATTCCATCCATGGGACTTTAGTGGTTTGTTGTTTGTATATATTGAGATTGACTTGAATTTTATGACTTATTTATCCACATATTTTGGCAAGATTTGGGTTCTTGGTAAGGTGGCGATAGTTGTGCTGTAGTGGTGAGCCAACCATCTGATTATTTATTTAGATAATAGCACTGTATATTTCTCAGCTTCATTGGGTTTGCATATAGTGTGTCATTTACACATATGCTAGTGTGAAGGCTTTTTGGGTTGCACACGTGTACTATTCCATAACGAATAAAATCCCTTTTCAGGTAAAAGAAATCCTGATTGAGGAGTCAAATGTGCAGCCTGTTAACAGTCCGGTTACAGTTTGTGGGGATATACATGGCCAGTTTCACGATTTAATGAAACTCTTCCAGACTGGAGGTCATGTACCAGAAACAAATTATATTTTCATGGTCAGTTTACATCTTCTCTTCTCAATTAAACTCTGACAGTGTAGTAGTGTTAGGGATCATTTTATCAAACTGTCCTGGTGCTATCTTAGTAGAGTTCTCATATAACTAATCTGCAGGGAGATTTTGTTGATCGTGGATATAATAGTCTAGAAGTTTTCACGATTCTTTTGCTGCTTAAGGCAAGGTTAGTTATACCTTTGCATGTATGCTCATGTTTGCATTCTCCATTATTGTATATGATCGCATCAAAGATAAATTTGCTTGGACACACACTCAGAAATTTAGAATTGCTTTATTGTTCTGTATTTCTAAAAATAGGTTTTGGATGAAGTGTGACCAAACTTGACAAAAGATCACTGATTTTTTTACATATTAGTGAAATTTACATCATCTTTAGGTGACCTTCACTATTAATGTCTCTGAAGTATGAACAATATCAAGGGGTATATTTAGCTCATGCCTTTTTCTATTTCAACTCTAATTACTTTTTCACATATATATATATATGTGTGTGTGTGTGTGTTCAGATTTCTGTACAAAAAAACACACACTTTCATGGATATGTTTTATTGTACCTTCATATTTGGAGTGTTAAGTGTGTATTAAACAACGCTATTCAGTTTCTGATACATACTATACCTTGTTTTTTTCTTACAGATACCCAGCTAATATTACTCTTTTACGTGGGAATCACGAGAGCAGGCAACTAACACAGGTAATAGGAATTTAAATTATGCTATTTTCCTTATAAATTGCTCCTTTTTATGGGTTTTGGGGGAGATTTTCTTAACTTGTTCACCATTTTTAAAAATTTTTTAAAAATGGGTTTAGTTGTTATTTTTATACACTTATACCTATAGGTTTCTTTTGTTAAATTACAAGAACAGCTATACACCCACATGGGCCCAATTCCTCCAAAAGAGCCTTGCTTTAATAGCACAAAAGTTTTTTGTCCAAGAAACGATTCATATTTACTTACAAACAAAATAATATGTACTCCGTATTTCTCAATAATTTTCCAAAAACTGCTACACAAACTAATGAATATGAGTGGGTATATGATAGAACAACATACCAGGTAAATTCCCAGAAATAGAGTCTGGGAGCAGTGGGTGTACGTCGGGCCATAGCCTTTCAGGTTTTCTTTTATCTAATGAGTAATTATCATTATACTTAAAATCTCTTTCATCTTTAATAGGTGTATGGTTTCTATGATGAATGCCAAAGAAAGTACGGAAACGCCAATGCTTGGCGGTATTGCACAGATGTCTTTGACTATCTAACTCTCTCAGCAATCATAGATGGAACTGTATGTCTGCTACTCACTGCCAGTTTCTTTGCTACATTGAACATTGTTTTTGGCGTCTATCATACTGTGATAGAGCTTGCTTTCTTTATTGCCAGGTATTATGTGTCCATGGTGGCCTTTCTCCAGATGTTAGGTCTATTGATCAGGTACATTTAATGTTATGCTTCTTTTTTATAACTAACCCCCCTGAATATTTTCATTCATCATGATTTAAACTCGAATCTATGGCATCCATTTCACATCTTATCTATGGAGCCATGAGCCACTTGCTTGCTCTTATCTCTTCTGAGGGAATGAATTCTGAAAATTTGCACTTTAATTGATAGTACCCTTTCAGACAGAATAAATTGAATATTTTCAGATCTTGTTTCTTTAATTCTTTGTCCCTTGGCGGTCCATGTAGTGTAATTGTTCATGGTTACACATTCTAACCTAAATTACTTTCTAAAGATTTTATATCTTGCGTTGCACAGATCAGAGTCATTGAAAGAAACTGTGAAATACCCCATGAAGGACCCTTTTGTGACCTCATGTGGAGTGACCCTGAAGATATTGAAACTTGGGCTGTCAGTCCTAGAGGAGCAGGCTGGCTCTTTGGCTCAAGGGTTACATCTGAGGTATGCGAGAGATTGCAATGTGTTAAAATTGGTTACATGCCCCTGTTTCTGCCGTTAATAATAGCTTTCTACTTTTGTTTGGGGCAGTTTAATCACATCAACAAACTGGATTTAGTTTGTCGGGCACACCAGCTTGTCCAGGAAGGTCTCAAGTACATGTTTCAAGATAAAGGACTTGTGACCGTACGTTGTTTCTTTAACTTTGATTCTCTGCTCATTCTTAGTAGGCATGATAATTGAATCCTCATATTGTCCTCTGGTGCAGGTCTGGTCTGCCCCAAACTACTGCTATCGGTGTGGGAATGTGGCATCCATTTTGAGCTTCAATGAGAACATGGTACTTAGATTCTGATTAGCTATGCAACTACCCCACCCCACCCTCGTTTGAGAACTCCCCCAAAGTCTTATTTGACAAGATTTATTTCTTTATCAAAATAGTCCCAAAGAAATAACACATAACTTTTAGTTAAACCAACAACAAATCCAGTAAAATCCTTCCCACAAAAAGTAGAAAAAGTAGGGTCTGTGGAGGTTGTGTGTACGTACGCAGACCTTACCCCTACTATGAAGGATAGACTTTTAGTTAATCCAACAAATAAGTTTGAAAATACAGATAGAATTGATACTTCTCTATACTTCTCTTTGTCAAATATGACTCTCTTCGGGAGCAATGTAGTACTAATTAGTAATTAGCATCTATCTCTTGTATTTTATAAGTTCAACTGAATAGCATGGTGAGTTTTGATCATTGTTTCCCACCCCCCTACAATTTTCCGCTCAATCCGAGCATATTATAGTATTTACTATTTTGTTTACCCTCCCAAGCGCTGACATGAAGTTGTGATACACGCAGGAGAGGGAGGTCAAGTTCTTCACAGAAACAGAGGAAAACAACCAAATGAGGGGACCCAGAACAGGCGTTCCGTATTTCTTGTGATGCATGATGTTGACACTTCTCCTGTCTGGGGCTTGCTGATCTAACATCCTTAGCCCCGCAGCCGCCCATTGTGCCCAACAGCCTGCTTCTACACTTGTGTTTTGAATAGTTTTGTGCTGTGTAGTTATGATGAAGAAGATAATAGCATTTTGACCATTTCATTATTATTATAGTTATTATTATTGGTTAATACAGTGTTTTGTTCTTGATTTGATTTGATTTGTAACAACAGCTATTCGGTTCATATGGATGGATTGACCTCCTGAAAAAAAGAACTCCCTGCCTCCTATTTCCTGCTATTCTTTACTCTCATTTTTTTTACAGTGATTCAACATATACTTCCCCTACCCCCACCCCCCACCCCCACCCATCAATCCCATTCTCATTATTATGTATATTCCAAGCCTCCAAGGGTATGGAATAATCTGCTTACCATGAAGTATGAAGAAATAGTAGAGGCTCAATGGCCTTGTGATTATGTGAAAGTATGGTTTGATCAAATGATATGTTTGTGCACACTATTGATGGTTTGTCTATATATGCCCATGACCTAAGCTATTTATATAGGGGTAACCTTTTATATAGGTCTATATGACCATATATTACTCCCAAGTAATTCTTCTGTCTCTGGGTTTTGGAATGAGAATCAAAATTGTGAGGAGTTGAAGATGCATGTGACAAATTTCTGGTTGATGAATTGTTTGCATGAGAGGCGAGCTGGCAAGGTATACGTTGGAAGCGGTGGGATAGGTTACGGTGTCGCATGTACTTGGGAGGCTTAAGTTTCAAAGAAGTCCAAGAAATCAATCTTTCAAGATGATGGACGTATTGGGCCCCGAACTTGGGTCTATGTTTTATGGACTTGGAAGAAACTTGCGCCTCCCATAAGCAAGTGAGGAGTGAAAGCAAAGGTCCATATGCTTGGCCTCATCGCTCACGGGGCTCATCCTTGTCTGTAGCTAGGCTCAACCATCAGCATCAAGAAGCCTTAAGGAAGAAGGTTCGAGTTCGACCATTGGTACATCAGGGGAGAGAGTTCGAGCTCGGTGTAGCCAAACTTGACTATTAGCACGTCCTAAGGGGCAAAGTTCTTTCCTTAAGGAGCCAAGTTCATCTGGACCATCACCATAGGTCTAAGCTTGAGGATAGCCACAGTCGGCCATAGGGTCCACAATGAAGTCAACTCCTAGGGAACAGGGGAGCACAACCACGAGTACAGAGTCTGGTTCATCACTTGTACTATGTAAAAATAACCCTTCATCTTCAAGGACAGGAATGAGGTTCTAAGCTCTACTTTGCTACTCCGTAATATATTGAGCTTTTCTGTATTGTTTTACCTTTGAAATATTTTTTTATTCAAATACATTTACAATTTAAAACATACACTAGTAGTTTATATAAAAACCTTTATCCTATCAGTATATCTCAATGATCATATTAATAAACGTCTCAATTCTTTTGACGATACTTTTTGTTGTTATAATATGACAACATGTACAGTGTTTTATTTTGAAAATTGATGGTTCTTATTCCGTCTAAACCCCTTCTCCCTCCCTAAAAACATCAATTGAAAGGGGAGGGGGAGAGAGAGTAAGAACCATCATTTATTGTCAAAAGAGGGGAATCGTTTTGTAAATTTACAAATAATGTATAACAAAGTAAAAACATTAAATGTACAAACACACCAACATGTACTTTAAAGAAAAATATTCATGTTGTATGAATATTTATTATAAATCAACATAGAAATCAAGGAAAATAAACAATCAAATTTTATTTTTGTGTCTTAAATTTTAAAGACCAAAACTTAAAATTTTATAAATTAAAATATAAAATCAGACTGGACTTGGAACGGTCCTAATTGGACTACCTGATTTCAAAAAGTTCTTATTTTTTAATGAATGTAGAATTAGTCTGAAATAGTACAAAAAAGTCAGACAGATTTCATTCCTTAGAGGGTATTTGGACTTAAGTTTAAAAACTACTTATGAACTTTTGCTTAATTAAAATACGGTTTGTCGTGTTTGCCTATCTGCTCTTCTTCTTATAGATTATAACTTCTATAGTCTAAAATGAGCTCTGAAAGTCATTTCAAGCAAAGTTAAAAATGTCTGCTTTCCGTTTTTTAACATTTTTTTTCAACAATCTACCACACTCTCAAGCACTTTTTAAATAATACTGATCTTTCGTAAAATCCTACAAATCTCCTCCTTTGGATCATTTTTGAGGCATTATGTCTGGGCCGAATAGTTGATGCCCAACTCGTATTGATGAACGCGTCTATTTCAAGCCCAATTGATAAACCCTCTCTCTATACTATAGCGTAACCCTCTCTTATTGTTCGCTTCCGCCTCTCATTTGCTCTGGTACTGCCGCGCTCTGTATTAGGGTTAGATCTTTCATCGTCGGGAACTATGGCGACGGCGGCGACGGAATCGGTGCAGTGTTTCGGACGGAAGAAGACGGCGGTGGCCGTGACTCACTGCAAGACGGGGAAGGGCTTGATCAAGATCAACGGAGTGCCAATCGAGCTCATCCAGCCGGAGATTCTCCGGTTCAAGGTGTTCGAGCCGATCCTGCTCCTAGGACGCCACCGCTTCGCCGGAGTAGACATGCGCATCCGCGTCAAGGGCGGAGGCCACACCTCCCAGATCTACGCCATCCGGCAGTCCATCGCCAAGGCTCTGGTCGCGTATCACCAGAAGTACGTCGACGAGCAGTCGAAGAAGGAGATCAAGGACATTCTCGTTCGCTACGACCGCACCTTGCTCGTGGCGGATCCGAGGCGGTGCGAGCCTAAGAAGTTCGGCGGCCGTGGTGCTCGCGCCAGGTTCCAAAAATCTTACCGTTAAGAAGCAAATTCTACCGTTTTTAGTCACTTCAACCTCATCTCCCTCTTATTTCTTATCAATGAAATCAGTTTTTTGAACTTCTCTATTGAACTGTTATTTTCTCTGTGTTTATTGATTTGGTTCAAGGAGGAAAATCATACATTTCTTGATTTCCCAGCTTTTTGTTTGATTGATGGATTCTGGAGACATATTAGTGTTTTAAATTTCTTCTTTGGTGCTTGGTTACTAGCTATTAGTTTGTGTTCTTTTGACACCAAGGTCTCGTGCCATAATAACATGACACACCCATCCATTTGACAACAATAATGCTAGGGGTAAATGGGTATCCCATTTGGATACCAAGCAAAAACAAACACACATAGACACTCCATGTCTATGCGTGCATTGAGTACCCCATTTTTGGTGTACTACTAGCATTGCCCATTTGACAACTCTATTTGTCTGACCCGAAGTCTTTTTTACTCTCCTTAAGCCCACAACCCTTAGCTTGCCTGCCCCACCACCCCCCCTTGTGGGGTGGGCTTGTGGTTGGAGAGAGCACATTAAGATCTTCAAATGGACGAGATGTCATATTAAGACAGCCATGGCAGTTGCCTTCACTTCTCAGAGACCTAGATTTCATTTGAAGCCCAAGATTTCAACTTTAAGTTTTAATTTCAAATCACAAAGGAGAGTGTATGGATTTGTAATTGAGTTTTGCTTGGAATTAAAGAAATTTGACTCAAATACAATCTTTTTTTTGTTTTCAAACATGTAATTTGAGGCAAATTTAGATTTGAAATCCAAATCTTGATTTTTCAAACAGGCCAATAGGTCATTCTTAGAGGTGGTGTGAAATGGGATACCGAATTTTTCTCATCGCTATCATAAGCATGCTCGTATCAAAATTTTGGTTTATGAAAACTAGTACATCTCCGGTGCGATGCACGGAGAGATAAGTTTATCACAAGTTTAAAAAGATATGAGAATAGTTGATGCTGAATATTATTTAGTTTTCTAACATTTTACTCAGTTTAATTTCAAATCATTTCATTTGAAAAAAGATATAGAATTAAAATACAAAAATTACATATTCTATGATTGCATAAAAAGATCTACAAAAATAATGGGGACATGACTATATTATTGAATCAAATTACAAAATAAAATGAAAAAGAAATTGATTAAAGTTTAACCATGAAAATAGTTCACATGCAATTTAATTATACTTTGAGGGGGGAAATTATGTTCATATAATTTATCGATGTTTTTCCAACGTAGTAAATATTAATCCAATAAATATTCCTTCCTTGAGTATTTGTTTATATACTCATATTTGACTATTTTCCATCAAACTTGGTAAGCTTTGACATCAAAATAAATAAAATTGAAATTGTATATATTACGGAGTATGTGTGTGTGTGCGTGTGTGTGTATATACACACACACACTTATATACATACATACATACATACATATATATATATATATATATATATATATAGACACGCACGCACACAAAAATTGTTTAGTAGAGTTAACTTATAAAATATTGTCAAAATATTTTTTTATCTAACAGGAATAGAGACAGGAATATTAGCTCAATCATTCGCCAGGCCCAAGTGACTTTCCCGGCCCAATAGAGTTAAATATAAAATGTATTTTCCTAACCCTACGTTTCAATTCCGACGCTACGATCCTCTCTTTCTCGACCATCGTCTTCATCCTTTGTCTCCGATCATCCGTAATCATCTCTCTCTGTCTCTCAAATACATTATTAAAGTATTTATTATTATTATATATAGAAACATTTTTATTTTTTCTGTTAAAATTTCAGGTTTTTTAAAACATTCATGCAGTTTCATTTTTCAAGATCTAAAGTAATTGCTCTATTTTTTATATGCCATTTTTCTGCATTTATTTAAAGAGACATGGAGCAGGGATGAACAATGACCTTAAAAATGCAATTCTTTTAGTAGGGTATTGTTTTTTATATACTCCCTCCTGTCCCCCATAGATCTTCTCAATAGCCCTTTTTTTTTGTACACAATAGATCTTCTCATTTCATTTTTTAACAATTAAAATACCATAATTACCCCCACTTACTTCATTTATTACACGTCATCCACCTCATTTAATACACTCCATCCAAATTTCATTAAGGGTATTATGGTAAACTTTCACCTTTTTTCAACTCTCCTTAAAAACCACCAAAAGTCAAAATGAGAACATCTTAGGGGGACGGAGGGAGTATTATTTATTTTGTAATAGGAATCTGCAATTATTGATTGCGTCTCTTTTTGTATTTTTTTCGAGTTTTAGATCTTAAAAATCAAGTTTTTTTAAAAAAGGCATGAAATTTGGTCTGTACAAATCTAAAGAACTTGCTGTGCTTTTAAATTTTTAATATATTTTTGTGGATCTATACAATGGTAGACGTAGCAGGGGTAAACACTGGCCGAAGAACATTTCATTAAAATCTCTATGTCTTCGGTAAGCTATTATCTACACTTTTTCATCTTTTTTTAATGTTTAAATTATACTTTATAATAATAATGGGAAAGTTTTCATATATGATATCAAAATTAAATGAAGAAGTAAAGAATAATTATACTCTTGTTTGTCAGTTGTTTCGTTTGGTTCCACATATTTTCCCAGATTTTGTTATTTTCTTCATCACTGGACCTTTCCAGAATTTTCAGTATACGTTTCTTGAAAAAAATGGCTTTTTAGATTAATTTGCTAACATTGCTGTCTTCAAAAACCTGTAAAAGAAGAGCATATAAAAAGTTAGTAATTGTTATTAAAGGAGCATATCTTTTATATCTTCTTTCTGGTTCATAATTAAAAAACCAATATTCCAAAAATTGAAATATAGAACATGACCGTGATTCCATGAATATAGAACATTGGAGCATTTTCAAAACTTTCTAACGCATTAATCTCTCCAAATGGTTTGAAATTGAAAAAATGCCTAGGGAATTGTTCATCCAAAATCTCAACAATAGTTACAAGTGATAACTTAAATTTGTTTGAAACAATGTGAGGCTTGTTATTTGATAGAATTGCAGGATTACTTATTGAATATAACTTCCCTTTTAGTGTAGCTCCAAACACTGGTATTTCCTCCTTTTGATAGATTGGAAGGATGTGGTTCCCCTGAATTTTTTTCAAATAATTAATATATTTTAGAAAAGTGGCTAGCCACAAAAGTCTTGAAGAAAAATACCTCATTATCGTGAAAAATACACTCCCGTGCATAAACTTCTCTAGCATTCCTGTAGGGCATTAGATCATAGGAATGAATTAATCTTAATTTTAGATTGGATCGAAAGGTATATGGTTTTAAATCCATCAACCTCGTCCAAAGGGCAGGCATTTTTGAAAACTATAAGGCTAAATCTTAGGAAATCAGTGTAGTGTAAGAATTTAGGGAAATCTAATATACTCCGTATCTAATATAAAAGTGGAAGGGTGTGTAGTGTGTTAGATTGGAATGGTATTTATACACCCAATGGAGTGTGTTGGGTTACACCTTTAACACAGGGATTTTATGGAAGAGATGTTTTCTATGTACTATGAACTGACTTTGTTGGTCTTTACCACTTGTAATGGGTATTTGTTGTGTAGTACAGGGACCATGTTCATGGCATGTCTTGTAATTTATTGATTTCATCATATTTGTGCAGCACTTATTTCCTTTACGAAGCTGGAATCTTTTTAATAAATAAGAGGGTGTGATGAATGGTTTTATATCTTTTGCTTAAGTGTTTCCCAAAGTCAAGGAAATAAAACGTATCTTGGCGTGGCTTGGTCGGTATCCCGAAGCGGCCATGGCGTTTTTTATCCCTTCCCTTGTGATGAGTATATAAATACTTAAAATTCTGAGCCTCTTTTTAGCCCTGTTTATTCTGGAAATACATGTTGCTATAATTAAATGCAATGATATTAAAGAGGCCGAGACAAAAACGTTGTGTTTTTTCCAATGCCGATACCAAAGATTTAACGAAATGATTTGTATCTTGGCAAGGCATTCCAGGAGCTTGACATCCTGGTTGCAGCAATGGCAATCATATATCTTTGTTTAGCAATGGAAAAAAATTTTGAGCCTCAACAATAATTCAAAATTTTTTGCTCATAAATTATAAACTTTTTTTTAATTGGTGGTTTTGGTATAAATTGAAGTAGAATCGGTGAATATACGGTGTCCATGTCTGAACCACTTAAACTTAATCACGGCAGAGGTTGTATTTTAAAAATCATGACCAGCTTTTAACTGTAAAGTTGCTCGCACTTGGCCTTCTGTTTGGCATTTTGTGAGTGTATTAGAATCAGGCCTTTGGTGGAAATGGAATACATGCGGGTCCTGATTGTATTTCTGAATTAAGTTGGTCATTGATTCCATTTTGTTTGGCCTCTCCTGATTGTAATAAACTGATGGGCCATATTGTCATGGATTTGTGCCATGTGTATCAAAATTGTTTCAGCCATTAGATTGGGAAAAAATGGCGGGAAAATTGGAATGGAATTGTGCTCTGATTTCCCGTGACAATATAGGAATGGAATTGTGCTCTGGTATCCAAGCTCTGATTTGCTTGGAATTGAAGAAATTTGACTCAAATACAATCTTTTTTTTATTTTCAAACATGTAATTTGAGGCAAATCTAGATTTGAAATCCAAATCTTGATTTTTCAAACAGGCCAATAGGTCATATTCTTAGAGGTGGTGTGAAATGGGATACTGAATTTTTCTCATCGCTATCATAAGCATGCTCGTATCAAAATTTTGGTTTATGAAAATGCTTATCGAATCCATACCGGGAGTTACCATAGGATGAAAATCCGGTATGAGAAAAAACCCGTACATTCAACTACTGTGTTTTGGTATTTTCTTGAGAAAATTTTGGGTACCGAATCTTCTAATATTGAAATTAATTCAAGATATTGGGATTTTGGTATTAAACAGAGCCAGAGAGTATTATGGAGTGAATGAACTTGCTTATTGTCGAGTGTTTCTTCGTAAACCTTTGCACTTATTTTATTCCTTATTTTAGCAATGAATATTTTGTCACTAACAATTCTCTCATTTCTCAACAAACTTCAGTCCTATACTTTTTATTTTTTACTATTTTTTTTAATTTTGTGAGGTCAAAATATTAGGAACTTAATGGCACATAGGGAGTGTTAACATAAACTATTTTTTTGTAAAGCATTATCATTTTAAAAATAGGGTGTGATTTTTTGACATAATCCCCAAGTGTATCATGGTATTGTTCCAGTTAGGGCACCAAATGTCACTGTATTTTACATTAATTGTAGCTTCAAAAAAGTCATGATGATGTAATGTGATTTGTCTAGGGATAAATCATAAACAATGATGGATTAACTATAGTTGAAAATATTATACCTCGCCTCTCGAAATAGAAAATCAATTAAAAAGGGTTGAAACTTGAAAGCCTTGCCACAAGGGTACATTCAATTTTGAATCCTAACCGTAAAAACATGGTCATTTTCTCTCTTTAATTAACAAGAAAATTGAATTATATAATTTTTTTTAGACATCTAACACAATGCAAATGGGTCAGGTTTCAAAATTACAACTCTTGAGGTTTACCAAAGAAGATTCCTCCGTTCAAAAAATAGGCTTAATGCCAAATAACACCCCTATCTCCCGTGGCTTAGAAAATAGGTTCTACTAATATTCTTTCACTTTTCAAACTTATTTCTAAAGTCTCATTGGTTTTAAAATTGTTTTTATAAGTTCTTAAAATTTAAAATTATTATTGTTTGGAAAAAAAATTAAGATATGCTCCATCCGTCCCAAATTATAATGCATGTTTACTATTCATAACGTCAAATTTTATTTATTTTTTCTCTATTTTCGTTAGCAATTTGATAAAATAAAGTATTATTGTTACTAATAGTTTTGTAGATCTTTTGATTTAGTATTTTAATATGTAATTTTTATTTTTTAACTCTATATCATTTGTCATATAAAATGATTTGAAAATAATTTTAGTCAAACATCGTAAATCGAAACAGACACTATAAATTGAGACGGAGGGAGTACTTCATTTGTACGTCTAAAATTATAATTTATATTTTTTGTTTTCTAAAATAAAAAATGTAAAACTTGTTTTAAGAACTTCGAAAAATGAGGATTAAATAAGAAATAAAATAAAACCAAATATAAAAATGAATATCCTTGTTGGACATCCCAATTCTAAGGACTTTTTTAGGTGCATTGAAGATTCTTTTTGTATAAGACTCTTTTTTAGATATTTTAATTTTTTTCATTTCATTTTTCCATATTTTTTTATTTTTATTTTTTTGAACTTACCAAAAATATTATACTAGAAAACAAAAAGTTAAAATGTTTAATTTGAGATAGATGTACTACTATATGTTAATTTTTTTTATTTCTATTTCTAACAAAAAGTTTTTTTTTTAAATTTTTTAAAAACATTGTAAAAACTCTTAGAAGAATTTTAGAATTCTAATAAAGGGAAACGAAGAGATACAAAAAGTTTAAGAAAAAGGAAAAAAACAAAGTAATAAACGAAAAACAAGAAATGTGCACGTATACCCTTATAGTTTAACAAATACACACCAATGCTTCCTCTTCGTCAAAAAATGATCGGAGGGGGTGTAGGTGCGACGTTTTAAAATCACTAGTGTTTTAGCAATAAGTTTTCAAAATAGAGGAATTTTATGAAAATTTGATATTTTAAAATTATATCTTAAAATAAACTCAATTATATTAAATTTATATTTCATGTTGCAAGTAAATAATTTTTTTATAATATATATAAGAGTAATTTACTTAAATAGGACTAAAACATAATGACTTTTCTAATATATGACCATATGTTTTTATTTCTCAATGTAGAACTTTTGGTCATTATCAAGTAGTCATTATTCAAGTAAATGTCCATCATTACTGGACATTATTCCTTTCACAAGGTCATTATTAAGTCCTATTTAGAGAATAAAAAAGTTTAAGTCCTACATTAGGAAAATCATTATGTTTTAGTCCTATTTAGCGCAAAGGATTTTATATACTCCGGCTTATATAGGAAAGTCATTATGTTAAACTCAATTGGTTAGAGCACCGTCGGCCTCTCAAGGATTTTATATACTCCGGGTTATTGAATAAGCCAGGGGAAAACAAGCACCGTTTGCCGTTTGGTTTTGACATTCATGCAACCCGTCGTTTTTTATGTAAAGGTTAGCTAGATTTCACCAATTTCAAAAGGATAAAACTATTTGTACCAACTTTTATATCCCACTTTGTACCCCGTAGGTTTACACCGACACTTTGTGTTGGTGTAAAATTAATTTCTGTTAATACACCAATACTTTGTGTCCGTGTAAATTTTTGTTAACGCACAAACACTTGTGTCGGTGTAAACCATCAAAATATTTGTGTATAACTGCGGTGTACAAATGGAGTACAATTTATGGTGTAAGTGTAGCATGGCCTATTTAAAAAATACAGTATCCAATTTGGAAGACTAACAACTCTATCTCCAATGAGCTTTTAGTGTACCTTGGGTGCAAACTATATTTGTGGACCTTCTCACATACTCCCTCCGTCTCACTCTCTTTGTCCACTTATCTTTTGGCACACTATCCAATGCACTTCTTTAATCCATTTTATCTTGTAATTTGTATATTAAAAAATTATAGAAATTATATATTAATAATCTATATGTTAAGACAAATCATACAAGATCACACATGACTATATTTAGGCTTACACATTGAGAAAATTTGATGGGTCAAAGTGCTTAAATGAACAGTTCCAAAAGTCAAAAGTTGACAAAGAGAGTGGGACGGAGGTAGTAATTTTTTTTACGAGTAGTTTTTTTTATTAAAAAAAAAGCATATACTTATTTAAAAGTAATTAGAAAATGCTTGTTTTGCTTATATTTAGGTGGATCATAGAATTTGTCATATCTCCAAGCCGATTTTCCCTAGGCCCTCGGCTTTTGCGCCATCCTAACTGCTCATTTTGTCGAAAACCCTTCTTCTCCCTATGTGGATTGTGGAACGGATCAGCATGGCTGGAACAGAAGTTGGGATGGAACGCGGGCCCTCGATAACCCATGAACCGCGATTGGGGTGGAGTCCTTAGAGAAACTTTTCAACTTAAGGCACGGAAAGAAGTAGGGATTCATAGACTTGTAAGTTAAAAGTGATGGCTAAATAATGAGTTGAGATTCTTGATTCAAGATCTCAACATCTTTATTTTTCTTTATAATCAAAATGAAAGCTTCCTGCAAGAGGAAACTTGAGATTCGGGTTCAATTGTTGTAAGAAAGCAAGTTGAAAAAACCTTGAGGGAGACGTTGGAACGGGAGGATTGCTATTGGAGACAACGTGCCAAACAATTTTGGGTCTCCTGCGGTGATCGGAACACAAAATTTTTTCACAATTATGCTTCACATCGGAAAAGGAAGAACCGCATATTACGACTTCGCGACGGTATGGGAGGTTGGTGTGAAGGGAGAAGGTTTTATAATTATTTTACAGATTTTTTCAGAGATAATAATAGGAGGGGACAACACAACGCTATGGACATGTGGTGTGCAGAGGCGGTTCATGCACGTGTTCGGGAGGATCAAAATGCTTAGCTCCAACGCCCTTTTACTCGGCAGGAGATTGAGGAGGCACTTTTTGCCATGCATCCGGACAAATCCCCATGACCGGATGGGCTCAACCCAGCTTTCTTCCAAAACTGTTGGAAGGAGGTGGGTCCAGAGTTATCTAACTTTGTTTTTTATTGTCTCCACAGGAAGGTTATCCCAGAAGGCCTTGGAGATGCTACTCTTGTTCTGATTCCTAAAAAGCACTGCCCTGAAAATGTGGGAGATCTCCGACCAATAGCTCTATGCAAAGTAATCTATAAGATAATTGCAAAGATCTTGGCAAACAGAATGAAGCCTTTACTGCAGAGTTTGATCTCGGATAACCAGTCAGCGTTCTTACCTGGGAGACTCATATCTGACAACATTCTCCTTGCTGCGGAAATTGGTCATTATCTTCGAAGGAAACAAGTAGGCAAAGTTGGATGGGTAGGGCTGAAGCTTGACATGGCCAAAGCATATGACAGGGTGTCCTGGACTTTTGTGGAGACTATGATGCGTACATTGGGTTTTAGTGAAGCTTGGATCCAACTCATAATGATGTGTGTGAAATCGGTTAGATATCGGGTTCTTGTCAATGGAACTCTCAGTGAAGTTATCGCTCCGACGCGAGGTCTGATATGTGCGGAAGGACTTTCACTGTTACTTAAGAAGGCGGAGGTAGAGAGGAGGATTCATGGGGTTAGGGTGGCCAATGGAGCCCCACCTATTTCACATCTGTTTTTTGCGGATGATAGCCTACTCCTTTTTAAAGCGTCCATGGAGGAGGCCCGTGTGGTGAAGCAATGCTTGGAGGAATATGAGTTAGCCTCGGGACAACAAGTGAACTTCTGTAAGTCAACGGTCTGCTTTAGCCTTAATACTATCCAGGAGGTTCAAGAGGAAATTAGCCGTTTTTTGGTGTGACTCTGGCAGATGACTTTGGGAAATATTTAGGTCTCCCTTCATGCATTGGCAGAAATAAAAACGTGGTTTTTTCATTTATTCTAGACAAGATCCGCCATCGTACCTGTGGGTGGAATAAACGTTTGCTCTCTAAAGCTGGAAAGGAGATCTTACTGAAAACAGTGGCCCAAGCAATGCCACAATATGTTATGAGTGTGTTCCTCCTGCCCATTGGGGTCTGCCAAAAGATTGAAAGAATTATGAACCAGTTTTGGTGGCAAAACTGTGGCAATGCTTCCTCTAATATTCATTGGTTGTCGTGGAGGCGTTTGACAAGTCCAAAAAAGTTCGGGGGGCTTGGTTTTAAGAATATCCACGACTTTAATATTGCCATGCTGGGCAAGCAAGGGTGGAGATTATTAACTAATCCGGGGTCATTAACAGCTAAGATTTTCAAGGCAAGATACTTTCTGAAAACGTCTTTTTTAGAAGCGAAGATTGGCCCTAACCCAAGCTTTGTTTGGAGGAGTATTCTGGAAGCCCAAGGTCTCATTTAAGATGCGGGAAGAAAAAGAATTGGGAATGGGGGTGAGACCCTTGTTTGGAGCCACGCATGGTTATGGGATAAATTGAGCCCGTCTATTTCTACTCCCCGACCAGATTTTTGCCCTGATTTTCCAGTCTAGTTTCTCATTGATCACTCCGCTAACTCTTGGAAATTGGATATGTTGCAGCATTGGTTTTCTGAAGATGATAGAGCTCGGATTCTTCAGGTCCCGATATCTTCAGCATTGGGGTTTACCCTGTTAAAAGTGCGTACAAGAAGCTTACTGGGGAGGCAGCAGACACGTCCTTTTTTAACCATTGGAGCAGGTTATGGAAGCTAAATGTGGAACCTAAAGTTAAAGTTTGTTTTTGGAGGGCCCTGCGGGATATTTTGCCGGTTGCATGTTCGCTGAAGAGCAAAGGAATACAGGTAGATACTTTATGCCGTAGTTGTGGATCTGCTGAGGAGAGTGTTACTCATGTTTTCGTGGCCTGCCCGGTTGCGCAGAGACTGTGGCGGGTGCTGGGAGTCAAGGTTGTCAATAACCAGGGCCTTTGTTTCGATTCGCTATTGCACTGGGCAGATTTCAACTTTGGCAGTAGGGTCGGAAGGGAAATGGACTGCATGGCGGCGGGGATCTGGGCACTGTGGAAGGCGAGGAACATGGCCAATTTGGAGAGTAAGTTGCCGACAGTGGGTATCATCGAGGCTTGGACCAGGGAGGCTGTGGCCTCAACGCCATCAAACTGTTCGGGGTCGAAGGCACCAGTGGCGGAGGCTAGAATCAGCGGCATTACGTGCTCGGTGGATGCAGCTGTGTTCGAGAATGCTCGGCGGGTGGGAGTCGGTGCAATTCTTATAGGTGAAGATAATTCTTTTATTGGAGCTTTCAACTCTTGCATTAACTGTCCTTTAGAGCCACGAATTGCGGAAACCATGGCGATTAAAGAGGCTTTGTCTTGGATTAAAGACCATGGCTTCTCGGAGGTTAGTGTTTTGTCTGATTGTGAATTGTTGATTAAAGCACTCAATAATCCATCGAGTAGAAACATCTCGTATTTGGGTGCCGTTGAGGATGAATGTAGGTCTTTCGCTAGCTCTTTTATTTCTTTGAAGTTTTTTTATATTCCTAGAACCTCGAACTGTATTGCTCATTCTCTTGCTAGAGAGGCGGGGGAAAGGACTAATGAGTGGTGGAATTCTCCCCCTGACTTTGTTTCTCATTTGATTTGATGAATGAAAGTTGTTTACTTCAAAAAAAATGAAAGCTTTTTGTTTATAGGATGAAAGTACAAAGGGAGGACTAGGCCGAGCCCAATAGAAAAGCCAAATCTCAATTGCATATGAGTAGCTATTGACATCAAATTGAATTAAAAATGTATATTTAACATGATGTATGATTTAAATTGCCTCTATTTACAGGTTACAAATACTCATTTCGCATAATTTATTTAATTCAAATACCTAAGACATAGATGTATTCACAATGAATAAATACCAAAAATGCTAGAGGTACACCATTTGGTGTACCCCATTTGTACCCCGTTCCATCCCCACCATACAAAAGCAAGAGAGAAAAAAATTAAAATTAAAAAATGAAATGGAAGGGGAAGATGCATAATGTAGAAATGGATTACACCAAATGATGTACCCCTAACATAGCATTCCTATCTGTTTGAGAAAGATCTTTTCAAATGCTTTTTTTTTAGATTTTTTACAATTTTTTTAACATTTGTAATATCACAACTACCCTCACTTTTTTATTTATTACACATTTACACCCCACCCAATAATCTACCCACATTTATCAAGAGTAATTTTGTAAACTTTCACCTTTTTATAACACACTTCTTAAAAACAATGAAAAATCCACTTGAAAAGTTCTTTCCCGGAAGGAGAAAGTACATAATATTCATTTCGTGGCTAAAAGAAATTTTTATTTTGTTTCTAATAACATTTCCAATAAATGAAATCGCATAAAACATCCAATTATGTTTATTACATACTCAAAGAGTGAATATTAGTGTATAAAATTAGTGTATGCACATTTATAAGTTACATTTAATATGCTAAATTCCTCCACGGCTCCACTCAAACGCAGCCTTTGGAAATTCAAAGGATTCATCAATTTCATTCAAATAACTCCTACAAACGGGCAATAACCGTTGACTTGCACAAATAATGCCATTTTATTTTAGTCGAGTACACATATAAGATGTAGGCATGTGGCCACTAACTATAAAACAATGATTTTAAACCCGGACCGGATGTCAAACCGCCGAAGAGATCGGGTCCAAGTTTTTTTCTGGGTCAACCCGGTTTTTTCCGGGTATTTGCGGGTTTTGGGGGGGGGGGCTGGACCAGACCGGTTACGTAACCGGGTCACGGTTCGACTGGCCAGTCCGGGTTTAATAACATTGCTATAAAGAGTACCAAATCCAATCCATGCCCTAAATTAAGACTTTTTATCCAGGAAAAAAGAGAGGGTAAAAGGGTCAAGTTACTTGGTTGGGATTCATGTGTATAACACAGCGCAAACATTTGCCTTGCATCATCAAATGGAACGCTTTGTTTATGTCCTCAAATGGCAGATTGTGGGTTATCAGCTCATCAATCTGGATTTCCTGTATTTTAACCCCAACATGTTTTAACAAACAATTTCAACTACCAAAAAACCTACTTAGGCCCGGACGCCCGGTTCTTTTCAACTTACTAACACCCGGTTAGTTTGGATATTTCTAAAAACCTACTAAAGGCCCGTTTCTTTTCAACTTAATATTAACTGGAGTACGGTCTGGATTCTGGAAATTGGTCACGGGAACCTGGATTAAGGACCTATTTTTTTTTAACTTTATATTCCAGTTATCCAGATTTCGGTCTTATATCTCCGGACCCTAGTCTCCACTGGAGTCTAGGAACCAGAGTCTGAAAATCTGGATAACTGGAATAAAAACTTGAAAAGAACATGCCTAAGCAGCTTATACATCCTTAAACTAATTTGCTTCTATGAAATCTCAATAAGGTCCCACAAGCGGCGTTTGAAGAGGGTGAGGTATACAAAAGACACTATCAAATATGACATTTTGAAAAAGGCCTAACGAGTTTTAGAACACTTGTGTAAATCAAAGCCTCTAGTTCTAACAATCTAAGAACAAGGCCTCTGCATGAATGCTAGTTCTACCCGTTTACACATGAAAAATGCAAAATGCAAATGCAGTAATACCTTGTTAAGGTACATGTCAACTAATGATGGGATGTCAGACTTAGGTTTCCAGCCGCCAAAAAGAGATCCTGTCAATTTTCTGCCAGCAAGAAAAAACCGAAAGTGGCCACTTATTTCCGGCTTTGTCTTTGGGACTCCAAGAGTTACGGTCAAGCCCCATCCCTAATGAAAATTGAAAACAAGGAAGAAAGTATGAGCTAAAACGAGAAGGAAATGTGTTTGGAAAGAGTATATATAACAGGTTCTCCGGATCTAACATCGCAGCAAGACTGCAAAGCAGTGGTCACCATGTCTGTGTCTCCTATACATTCGAAACAGAAGTCTGCACCTCCATCTGTCATTCGTTTTATCACCTGGAACCCGGGATGAAAGACAAAATCCACGATTCTAGAATCAATAGAGAACATAAAACAGGGGTTTCAACATGTGAAGTTTAAATACATACCTCTTGAATAGGTTCACCAGTGTCATTTGGGTTTAGAAAGTCTGTTACTCCGAATCCCTTGCCTGTAATAAATCAATGAGAAACCACATAGGACATCATTCACCAGAGGCGCTTTTGCAGAATGTAGTTTTGAACCATATGTAAATGTTTAACCTATTTCCTTCTTTTGTGGATTAGTGTCCACACCAATTATTTGAGAAGCTCCCCGTAGTCTGGCACCTTGGGCTACCTACACAAAGAATGAAGCCATGAACTAAAAAAAAAGTCTATGGATGAAAGTTTTTGTCCGAATGAAAAGGGCATGTTTGATAAAAAATGGTGTACACAGTATCATTTGGGGTTAGTAACAGTTGTCCCTTGCCAACAACTTAAAAGTTGTACTTTATATAAACATAACTCTTTTTAGGTAGGGAAAGAGAGTAATATGGGGCATATGATAAACATGAACTCACGCAAAGGCCCACAGTTCCAAGACCAAAAATAGCAACTTTTGATCCTTGAGGAACATTAGCCACTTTCCATGCTGCTCCAAGACCTAATAATTGGGTGGCAATGGTAAAGCAACACATAGCATCAGCACCCAAGAAATGCTAGCAAAAAGATGATAACATCAAGAGTTTATGAAAGCCTACTACGGAAAAGATGGTTAGGGAGAACATAAAGTAAAGAAAATATTCTTAAACTTGAGATTCTATTATATAGATTTGTCTATATGATTTTGTCATGAGAAACAAAGGGAAAACAGATAAAAAATGCTGAAATAAGGCTGGGGAGGACAATGTAGATGATACTGATAGTGACTTAGGCTTCGTTTGGGAACAACATTATCAGTTAGCATTTTATTATATTTTTTATGGTGCAGATTAACTTTGAAAACACTAAAGCTAAACGTTGTCGTTAGATAGCCTTTTCAAAAAGCTAGAGCTAAACATTGTTGCCAAATTACCTGCAGCAGCACCACAACTGAGGATGCAGAGCTTCTCAAGGGGAGCAACAGGATTAACCTTGACAGCACAACCAGAGTGGACAACCGTGTACTCACTGAGACTTGAAACTGCACAATAATGATACACTTGTTTCCCCTTTAGAAAGAAGCGCGTCTTTTGGTCACTGTGCATGACTCCTCTGTGTTCTAGTCCGAGAACTTGACAAACATTGCTTTTCCCCGAGATGCAATGCTTGCACTTTGCGCACTCCCCAGTGAACAATGTGAGGACATGGTCTCCTTGTGCAAACTCTGTCACTCCTTCACCCACACTCTCCACAATCCTTGTAAAAATGAAAAATAACTACTATGGGTACTTGGAATGGCTTAATTAACACTCAATCTTGCACTCCCTTCATCCCCCAGAAAAGTTACATTTTCTTTTTTAAGTTGTCCCAAAATAAACTTCCAACTTTTTGTTTTCCTATTAAAGAAACTACCCCAAAGTTCTATTGACGCAAGAATTTGGTGTCAAGGGGTGTCATACTATGACACCTAGCCCCCATGGTGTTTCGTTGGGTCCGAAAGCTGTTCATATCCCCTACACCCAAAAACTCCCTCTCCATCCCAAATTCGCCAAATTGTTACTGTCAATGCTGTAGCAAATCAGCACACATGGAGGGGTATGTTAGGAATAATTTCTACAATTTGCTACAGGTAATGCCATTGCAAATCGGCAAATATGGAGGGGGCAGGGTTTAGGGGATAGGAACAAATTATGGACCCAACGGAGCATTGCAGGGGTCTCAAATGGCATACACTTGGTACGAAAGAAGGGGCAAATAACTTCTACAGCAGTTGTAATAATCAGTTAAAGGAATATCCAAGAGAGAGGGAGAGATGCAAACCCGGATGCTTCGTGTCCGAAAATCCGAGGAAAAAGGGGGGAAGACCGGGGCTGAGAGAGCCAGGCTGTGAGATCACTGCGGCAGAGAGAGGTACAGACGACCTTAATTCGGATCTCCATCGGCTGCGGAGGGCTCACCTCCACCTCCTCCATCACCAGAGCCTCTCCCGGACCCCATGCCACCGCAGCTGCAACACCGCTCACAACCTCAACCGAGCTTCTTTTTTATATAATGAATTGTTGAATCAATCGGTCAATCAAGATATTACATCAATCGAGGTCCTAGGGTTTTATAATCTATCGACGCTAGCAATCGAGCAAGTAATTAAGAAGAAAAAAAGGGAAGCGGCTTACCTCTGCAGGTGATTACGCCTGGTCCTTGTTCGGCAGGAGAATCGGAATGCGGCGGCGTATCCATCGGTGCCTTGTCTGGCACGAAGAAGAGCTCAAAGTCTTCGCTTTCAGACCAGTTTCCAGCTCTGCATTTCGAAATATTCTGATGATGATTAAGGGGTAGGTGGCGGTGGCCGGTGGCGTCGAGGTTGAAGAAGCCACTGCGGGTAGTTGAGCCATCTACAGCCGTCGTTGACTTGAATTTAGTTTCACTTGTGTTCAATAAAAGTTTAATGATTTTTCAAAATTCATTCATTTTTAAAATGATATTCGTTAATTGAAAATAATGATTTGTTCAATCCCCTACTAACAGCAGTTAAAATAATACTTTCTAATTGGGTATTTTCACAAATTAATCCATTTTTGAAATAAAAATACATTAATAATGAAAAAATATTTTAAATTTTATAAGATGATAATATATTGCTAAAAACCATAAATATAATTTTATAATTTGAAAGTAACATTTTAGATTATTCACAATTATTTAGAAGAATATCATGTCAATAAAATATTTAATAAACGTTGAATAAATCATTCTGAATAGGAGTAAAATACAGATAAATAGCTCATACTACCTCCGTCCCAGAGTATTTGTCCACTTTCATTTTTGCACATCATCCAATACACTTCTTTAATCCATTTTATCTTGTAATTTGTATATTAAAAAAATTATAGAAATTATAAATTAATAATCTATATGTTAAGACAAATCAAACAAGATCACACATGACTATATTTAGACTTACATATTGAGAGATTTTGATTAGTCAAAGTGCTTAGATGAAAAGTTCCAAAAGTCAAAAGTGGACGAATATAGCGGGACGGGAGGAGTATTTTCACTATTTTGGAACTTCCTTTTTTAATTTTAGTTTTTTCTCTTTATGTATTTTTGTATTTAGTTTATTTTTTTGTGTGTGTTTTGATTAATGAAATGCTTAAAAAATAAAAATAGATAAACTTAATGAAATGTGAGTATTAGTTATGTACTTTTTTTTTTATCTAGTTTTAAAAAAATTAATATAAATGAAATAATTAAATTTTTAGTTTGAGCAATTTAAATTAAGTGCTAAAAAATAATATTAAAGAATGGAAAAGAAAGAGGAAGAAAAGGGAAAGGAGATTTTAAAAAATTAATGTGATGTTGAGTTGACAGAAGAGAAAGATGAGCTGACATATGAACCATACCCAAGGAACGCTAAAACTCTCACGGAAAACTACATAACACTATAACACTAAGACCTTAGGAAACAATGCTAGCAATTAACGTTACCATTTCAAATAATTTCTTAATAATACATATTAAATTTGAAACATTTACGCCAAAAAGTATTGTTGGATATCATTTTTTATAACGCTAAAAGATATACCAAACGAAACGAAATCCAATAAAAAACATGATTGATCAAGCTTCATATATAGTATATATATATATTTGTATAAATTATTCAGTTGTACATATATCACACAATCACCAACAACTTCATAGATTTGTTTATTTATTCAAAAGAAAAAAACTTTCCTATCAAACAATTAATTGCAGGTGCAGTGCACTTCTCTTGAATGGGGGGAACACAAAGAGGCCATGATGAAAACCTTTCAGTCTATTATAGTGCCAAACATTATCTATCATATCTCATCACTCTTCTTCTTCTTCTTCTTCTTCTTCTTCTTCTTCTTCTTCTTCTCCAAACCCATGACTACAAGAAGCAAATCAAACTCCTCTATCTTGTACAAAGAATCAAACCCAAGTTTCACACGGAAAAAAGAGGTCGCCTCGTGATAATCTTTGCCTGCTTTGCATTTAGAAGACTCGTCTTTTTTTACTAAAGTAATGAAATGTCAATTTACCCCTTTATGTTGTTGCTTCATCACTCCATGATGCATCAATGGGAGGAAGATGGTAGTCGTCGGGTTTTAGGGCTAATGCAAAGTCGGGCAATGGCGGCGCCGTCTCCATAACCCTTAAGCAACGCGGTCAAAAAATCATTCAAAGCCCCCAATATCAATGGGAGGATAAATATCAAAGCCCCCCCC